GCGCGACGAGCTACGCATAAAGATAATCGGAAGATAACGCAAGGAGGCTGGACCGCTTAAGTGGTGTCGAAAGGGAGTGGCAAGCTGGGGTCAGTTCTACAGACGGAGAGGCTGGATCAAAAGTTTGCGGTCGGTGAAATCAGAGTCGAGATTGTGAGGTTACGCCTCCTCGGACGAGGAATAGCGTCCGAGCATAGCTAAGGAGGCAAGACGGAAAATTAAGATACTAATTTAAGGACGCGACGTCTGGAAGTGGTTAGGCAGGAGTGGTGAAAAAGAATAATTTCCTTTACGAGGGAATGCGTCGCTGACAAGTTTTAGATGAGTCGTTCAAGAGTAAGTTAGCGAGAGACGATATAGGAGCCCGTGTAAGGAAGTCCTAATCCACGTCGTGTGGAGACGGACGATGTAGTTCCAAGATACATAGAGTACGCGATGTTACGCTTTATACTCCTGCCACCAGCGTGAGCTGAAGTGTATGGATGTAAGCGGGCCTATACGTACGCGGCATAATACGAAGAGTTTATAGAGAGTCTTGGACTGATGCAATTCGAAATGGATATTAATCACCACCAAGTAGTGTGCAAATGTGCATATTACAAGTCAGTACCATAGCCTAAAGTATTACGAAGAGAGTGTCAGGTGCCGTGGGCGGTGTGCCTGTGTTCAGTGCTGTGTGCAACGTAGATGTACAGTGGCCTGATATAAGAGGGACGGTCGCCCGGCGTCCGTAGATGTAGTAGCGGCGAATGTGGAGTGTGTGTGCACATGTGTTAGATAGTGGACGCTGCAGTCCAAGCCTAACACACAGGGGCATCGAAGCCAGAACATCAAGTTTACGGAGCAACGACATTTGTTACTAGTATGACTCTCCCAATCCCATTCTTCACCTACGGAGCCACTTTCTATCAACAAACCGAAAGACTGTCGTCGTCGTCTTTCGCTAACAGCACCTGAAGCAGAACACTTACGCCCAGCAGTGGCAGTCTAAAGCCAGAGCTCCTGACACACGTGACAGTTGAGAGCCCAAATCAACCTACAGCAGGTGGCATTAACCAAAGACAATATTGTCTAAGGGGACGGAAACACTTCCTGCAAACTGAGCCCCATGACGATACGGGAGAAGTCGTCTTTACAGGTCAGCCAGTCTAACTCCTACCCCCCCCCTAGTGCTAAATAAAGAGAAGAGCCACACTACAAGGTGCTGCAAGGAGATGCCACGACAAATGAAAGACACAACGCACTCGACTATCCTGCAGCGCAGTAGTACTAGTGATGGAAGTGACAGTTATGCTCAATTGAAAAAAGGGAGAGTTGAAACAAGCCTTTTTTACGCCCTAATACGCCGGAAAACTATTTATACGGGGGGAGAATAATCCTTTCCTGAGTGTGGACAGCATGAGGCGCAGAACGGGAAGCGTGATAGGGAGCCTCGGGTCTGCAGCGGGGGAGAACGTCTTATACAACCCTTTTAGAATAAGTTGAACTGTTGGGTTTAAAAAAAGGCTGGGAAAGCTAAGATCGGACCAGCGGATATTAAAGTGAATGCCTGCTAAGAGGCTCCGGATATACTGGGGTTTGAGGTTTCGGTCACTGGTGCAGTAGCACATGAAGGCGCACACGGTGGAGATGAGGACAGGTTTGAGTGAGACGCCTACTGAGCAGCAGAAAAAGGCAAACGTTCTCCATGCGAAATCATAGGATTTGAGGGTGGAAGCGGCTAAGCCCTTCCTCATAAAGAATCTAGCAGACTCGAGGTGCCGAGCTAGGGGACTCTCGTTTAGTGCAGAGAGAGGAGATGAAGTGGAGGGATTCCTACTGGTTGCGAGCTGGCTTCCGGGCAGAGGTTCCGGAATGTCTGGAAGTGAAAGCGAGAGAGGGAGTCAGCAACAACATTCAGGTGACCGGGAATATGGCGAGCTGTGATTAAGAAGTTGTGGATTATGGAGGACCGTGTGATGCTTTTCATGAATGGCATAATGTCACTGCACTGGGATCGCGCCTTGTTAATGATTCCGACCACTGATTGGTTGTCGCACAGCACCGAGATGCGTTTACGGAACCACAGGTGACCCCATACGTGGCATGCAACGGCGATCGGAAAGATCTCGTGCAGAGCGGAGGATGAAACATGATTAGGGAATGACGGGGGCCATGACCCTGCGAACCACTCTCCCTGGAAGAAACCCCCAAAGCCAACGGATGGGGCGGCATCCGTGAAAAGCCTCATTGAGTAGGAACACACGAGGTCATCATAAAAGAAGTAACTCCGTTCCAGTGGGCGAGCAGGAGGGACCAGGAACGTAGGTCTGAGCGGCAGCCTTCGTCTAGGAAGACGCAGTCATGGAGGTTGTCGACCGCCGATGCTGCGTCCAGGAGGCGGGAGATGAACGAGCGCCCCTGGGGGATGACGCGCATGGCGAAGTTGAGGTGTCCGAGAAGGGAGAGCAACTGTGGTTTTGTGATAACTTGTTGCTCGCAGTATGACTTGGTGATGTCCCGGATGCGCTGCAATTTGTCGGAGGGGAGAGACGCCTTCATGTCTATGGAGTCAAGGATGATGCCTAGGAACTCTAAGCGTGTGTTCCTAGGCATCACCTAACGTTTTCTCCTTGGAGAGAGGGACGCCTAACTCCTGAAAGCAATGTTTAAGCTTGGCCAGTGAGATCCCTGAGCTGTCCTGTGGCGGATCTATGAGGAGGAAGTCGTCCAGTAGGTGAAGGACGGAGGGGATTCTGACGATGTTCAGCAGAGCGCTTCCGAGAAGGAATTGAAAATGCAGGGGCTGCGTCTGCACCCGAAGGTCAGGCGAACGGCAAAATAGAGTTTGGACTCCCACTTAATACCGAACAAATTCCACTGAGACGGATGAATGGGGATGATTTTGAAGGCATCGGTAATGTCCGCTTTGGAGAGCAAAGCTCCGTGCCCTGTGAACTTGATCATTTTTATTGCATTATCCACTGAGGCATAGTGAAGGGAAAACTGATCTGGAGGGATGATACTATTGACGCTGCAGAATGGGTCGGAGCGGGGAGCGGAAAGATCGAAAATCAGCCTCTTTTTTCCAGAGTATTTGCGTGTGGCTATTCCGATGGGATTTGAACGGAACACTGAAAAGGGGGAGGAGCTAAAAGGACCGATTATGTATCCTTTGAGAAGTTCTTTGTCGATGAGCTGGGAAACTATGTTGGGTTCTTTAGCGGCTGACTGTAAGTTTTTTGCGACGAAAGTCACTGTGGGAGATGAGAGGACCCCTACCCTGAAGCCTTGGGAGAACCCTGACAGGAGATAGTCAACGAACGCGGAATCTTGGTGAGTAGAAAGCGCAGCTGCTAGCTGAGGGATGTTAATGGGAGTGGAGGGGTGATAGTTCAGAATGTTTTTCCACCACGAGGTTTCTGGCGCAGAGCTACTGTGAGGCTGTGGCTGCGCCTGGGGCAAACGGACTTCGGGTGTGCATCCCTGCAGAAACTGCAGATATGGAGAAATGTACAGTAAGGGTGAGTGCAAACATTTTTGTTAAAACTAGAACAAATCCTATCTTCGTGTCTAGTCTGCACCTGACGGCTTGGTCTATCGTTCCCAGCATACTGCATGTGGGAGGCTCTGGGCGCGGAGAAAGGCACTGAGGGGCAGAGGGGAGCGATGTGGCCCTGCGCTCCGCAGCTGTAGGGTAGACGGAGCAGAGAACATCACGGAAGATGCCGAAAGCGACCATGAATTGCCCTACGCTGATGTCTCTGATAAGACTGGGGTCTGCGACCTTAAAGACGGCGGTGATATTTCCTCCTGTGGCGATGGCTTTATCGCACTCCGGGGAGGGCAGAATAAGGCTGAGCAGATTGACGTCCTTCCCTTCAAGAATTTTCGCCCTAAGCCGTGAGGAGATGTTGGCGGCTTGGGAAATAAAAGGCCTACCTGAAAGGGGGGCTGGGAGGGCCGAAGCCAGAGAATAGGGGGGAGCTACTGCTGGAATGCGTGGGACACCCTGACCCGGCAACCCCGGACTGAGGCAGAGAGCGCTGCTCTGAGTGCAGCGGAAGTTGAAGTTCCTGTGATGGAGTCTTCCAGGGCCTGGAGGCGAGCATCGATAGCTCTCATGGAGCTCGCCAGGGATTGCAGGGAGCCGGCCACGCTACTCTCCATGAGGGGCGTGTTAGAGACACTCCCGGCCTGGCGAGCCTGGGAAGGGGTGGATTTTGGAGGCGGACGGGATCCTGGAGGGCTCGACTTCCTGCCCTTTTTTCCTCCGCGGCTGCGGCCGCGTCCTCGCCCTGATCTCTCCGGAGAGCTGACTGGAGCTGCTGCCCCGGACTGGGGAGCTATGCTGGAGACCTGGTCCGAGAGCTCTCGGAGCTGAGAGAGAGCGAGGCCTGGGGCTGTGGGAATGCCCTGCTGCAGGAGCCGGGCGATGAGGAAGTCTGCCTCTGATGATAATCCGCTGAAGGGAGCCGAACCGGGACCGAAGACTTCCAGAGAAGGTTCGTGATCCAAATTGTCCGAGTTGGACATCTTGAGCTATGTTGCTTTACAGTTTTCTCACGAGAAGGAGTATGTAGTACTACCATTGCGTGTGGTCACCTGAAATGACAACTGACAGGGGGGAAGAGCAGGCATTTTAAGGATTTTAACGTGTGCAGCAATTGGCTGCTGAGGGGTGACGCCCACATGTTTAATGAGGGGGGAGAGAGCAATAGAGTGACGTGTAAGTGACTCATTGTTAGGTCTTCCTTATTGAACTTGCCCTAAAGCTTTCATTAGTTAGCAACATTTTTACCTGTAGCGCAGCTGTGGCTCATGAGGTAGATGGTCACTCCGATTGTAAGGTCAGTGGTTCGATTCCAAACCCCAGCAGTCAACAAGTCGCAACTTAAACTCAAATTGGTTTATCAATTCACTGGTGTAAATGTTGGTGAATGTACTTTTTTCTAAGCAGGTGGCCTCTGTATACATGTTTGTGAATGGGTATATCTGACTACCATATCAAAAAGCACTTTGAGGGGTTGGACAGACTCAGAAAGTGCTGTATAAATGCAGTCCATTTACCATTTTCCCTTCCCATTTCAATCGTGTGGAGTACCTGAAACCAACATTAAAACTGTATATATAAAAACCAAATATACGATACAACCACAACCTGTTTTCCAACAAAATTGTATTTGATCTTTTATTTGATTTATTCACATCTTGGCCTGACATTTTAAAAGGTTATATTATTCTGGAATACAGTGGTATTCAAATACTTGCAAATGTTACTTTATTATAAGTAGCTGTACTACAGTGTAAAAATACTCTTAAATCTTACTTAAGCAGAAGTATTAACTAAATAAACTTAAAGTACAAGTTAAAATATTTATTATACTTCATTTCACAATGTAGAAATGTAATTAGTGAATCATTAATGTGTAATCATAGAAACTTCGTAGGAACTTTACAGCTGGTAAGGATATTTGCAACATATTATATAATGCTGGGTAGTTTGAGTAATTGTACTAAGTTACATTCCACCAGTTTTAAGAAAAGTATTTAAATAGAGTTTTGTAGATGTAAGCTCTTAATTGTTTTCAAGAAAATCATGTGGACATATAGGAATACAATTTGAAACCCATGAAAGATAACTAGTTCCCCTTTTCAACAGCTTTGTCTAGGTCATATGCAACGTTTAACCAGAGTGAAGTTCTGAGAAGTGTAAACCTGTGAAGAGGAAGTATGGCTGCAGACTACAGCTGACCTCTGGGTCAGCAAGAACAAAAAAGAAGCAGCATCAGGGAAACTGTGCAGGTCTCTCTCTTTTAAACTAATTGCCTCTACCAGCCTCTCTACCGGAGACCCACACATCAGCAGGGCAACAAGTGAATTTCACGCTCCACTGATTTTTCTATACTTTAAGGGCAATTTCTGACATATTTCCTGCCAGGCCTGTAATATTTAATCAGACGTGTGGCCTCTGTGCTGAACTGACAAGGTTCATTTTATCCTCTTTCACAGGAATCGCACAACCACCTCAGACAAGTTCCTTCTTTTCTTTTTTAGCTCTGTACTTCTGCAACACAATTATGTTTGTTTTCATAATGTGTCATGTTGTTGTGGCTTTTTCACACATTTACCGACTGTGAAATGGCTTTCACATTGACGTTTTCTATATTTTGAATGTATCAAAATGACCTAAAAGATATTAGATATTTTTAAATGTTAGACAATTTGCTCAACACTTTAGTTATTATAAAAAAGATGCAAAAAAAAGTGACATTCAAACTCTTCTGAAGATTAAATACAAGGTATGCTTTTAAATAAATATTCACAGTTTACTTTCCAATACCTTTATAAAACAGTCCCTAAAATTCACAACTTCACAACTTAATGCCATTGAAAATTTATTGTGATATCTGATAGTTTACATTAGAGTGAAAACAGATATGTGACATGGCTTTACTAAGACAGAATACAAAGCAATGTAGTCAAATGAAAAGCATATAATAGTTTTGTTTTAAATTTAGGAAAAAATAAAAATAAAACAGGCACAACATATAGCCATTATAAATACAACATGCTTTAGACCTTAAACTGTGTTTTAAAAGCCCTAAGAAAATAACTTGTACAGTCTTTTCCCCTGTATACCAATCTTGCTTTTGATTACGCTTTAGGTACAGATATAGAAAGTAACTGAGCTCATGAAGTTGGTAGCCAGTGTCACAATAAAACAAAAATAACAATACAAAGTAAACAGTTTTTCAGCAGCAAATATTAGCATTTTCATCCAGGCTGCTTTGACACTGTTGTGTTCAGAGAATCAAAACATTCTACCGAAAGACAATGTCATATGAGACAGGATTTCTCCTCTTTCATTTTGGTATAGAATTTAAATCTCCAGGAGACGCTCGACCCCTGACTTCCTTCCCGCCATTAACACATGACACTGATGCATTCGGTAGAACCTGGGTCTTTTTGGTACACACCGGCGGTGATACTGGCAACTGCTTTTTGTTGATTCAACTTAAATTGACTGAGCCCAGGGCAAGTAAAGAGGCTCTGCGAGCAACCACTGCTGGCGCCAATGTGGATGTCCGTTGGAGGAACTGGCTCTGTGCATGGAACAGCTAACAAGTCCATTCAGTTACCATATAGGCAGACATGAATGGTCTGGTAAGGTAGTTTTTGTTTGTTTGTAGAAAAATGTATCTACCAGTGTCCTTGGAAAAGGTTCATAAAGTTATAAATCTAAACCAAGGGCTGGATTTAGAAATTTTCTGATATGAGTCTGATGTAGGTTGAACAGTTTTAACTCCTGTTTGCTTATGTAGATCATGATATATGATCAGACTCTTGAAAAACAGACAGCCAAACCTGAACTTTCAGTCTCAGTAGTTTTCAAGTGTATCACCATGACATGGTGAATACCAGAGTTCATGAAATGTAGCCATTTAACTAGCACTGATGAAAACAAGAACACAAATATCAATGAGATCCCTTCGTAATCGCTTAAATGCACCATTAAAGAGAAACATAACACCAGGCTGAAGAGTTTTGATTGAATGCTTCTGTGTTTGAAGGTTCTACACCCTGCATCACTGATTAGTGTAGTCCGAAATGTACTCTGTTGCACCTTTTACTCAACCAGACACTGATGTCAAGGGGAAGCGACACACCCTCGGTGGCATCCATTGTTTTAGCTAGCTAGCCAATTCCACTATGCTAACATGCTACACTGGTTACAGAAATACTGTAAGCAGCACCGCAGGCGGCTGGCCAGCGTTAGTTAAACGGACTCCGTTGGGAGCTGGCTAGCTCATTTATTTTTCAATATTCACATCGCTATTTTCCGAGTGCAGTGTCTCTAGGAACGCAGCCGCCATCTTGCGTCAAGGCTTTTTGTCAGTTAGCGTGCGTTCATCTAAAGTGAGTTGTAAAAACAATCGACGCCCCCTGAAGTAAACTTCTGAATCATGGCAGCCAGGTGAACATTTGAAACACTGACTGTTAGCCAAAACAGTTCCCCTTTAAGAGACATGTGCGCAGTGGATTGTGGAATACTGAGTGCTTTATTTATAGTTAAAAATAGTCCCACAACTGGATGTAGAGACTGAGCTCCGATAGGTAAGAAGCTAACTTTATCAAAACAAGAAATCAAATATATCAGGGATGTAACCATTCATTTTCGGTCACAACCAGCAAACTTAAGAAATACAATCAGATACATAGCCAGCGGTGACAAAAGCTAAGAACCTCCAAAAAGGCCGCCAGAGGGTGCGTCTGATCCCCTGAAAGCCAGTATACAGGAGACACTGACTGTAGTGGTGAAAGGGTCTCCCTGTGACACGGTGGGAGATTCCAGCTCGCCCCCCTATGTTCACACGGCTCAGCAGGGACCTTAACATCGGCCCTCTAACAGGCTCTCACCAAACAGGCTAGATAAACAAGCTAACAGAAAAGCAACATAGAACAATGATAAATCACTTCCAAACAAACTAACCTGGCCCTCGACCTCACGGATCACCGGGAGAGAAACCAAACAGCTGCGAAAGAAGGAAAACATCAGGACAAATAAAAAAACTTCCAAACCAAAAAAAGAGAAACAAATAAAGTGTCTGCGGAAAAGAAACTAAACATTCACCTTCGTGTGCAGGCCTGCATGCACACACACATAGACACAGACACACACAGTCAGAGGTACAGTGAACAAAAGTGCTTCAAGTTGGGGAAGTAAAAGAACCAACCCAGTAGAAATACGTATAAAACCTTAAATATGTTAGTTTATGTACAAAAACTTTAACACGGGCCAATATCTCAGCTGTTTATGTCTTTAAATGTTCAAGTAGGTATGGGTTTGCATTGTCATCGTTTTTTGGGATAAAAAGGTCATGTGATCTGACTGACCTTGCCGGCAAAGTAATCAATCACTGCTGATTTTTTAATTTCTCCCATCCCGCCCCGCCCAACCTCCACCTGCTGCCAACTTTTTTTGTTATCCTTACAATAAAAAGTCAAACAACAAGCCTAAGGCATCCCGCATGCTCCAAACCTCCTCCTCTATGCTTTACTCTGAGAAATATCCATCTGTTTTTTGCACCTCTAAATCTTAATGTGGAAAATAAAAGTGTTTATGTATAAGTTTCTGTTGTGAGAAGAAAATAAAAAATATGCATTTTATGAGGATCTATGTGAAAAAAAATTATTTTGAGGGCCACAGAAGGGGGAAGACACATCGTTCCCACAAAGGATTTTTTAAGTTATGCACTGCACAACAGAAAAATAAGAGGGGAGATTTGAAGAGGCACAAGATTCATACAGCTTAGAGGCAAATCACAAAGAGACAATTCATATGCTCTAAGAGAGAGAGAGAGAGACGGATAAGCATTTAAAGTGCAAAAAGACCTACAAGAGCGAGAAGGAAATGGCCGCATTTCTACGATAGCAGCAAAGAATCGGAAACTAAACTTTTCTCGAGAAAAACTAAGAGGAAAAGCATCAGTTGTTGATTTTATTGAAATAAAACCAAAACTTGTAGAAGCATCTAGCTTCAGTCGTAACGAAAAACTATGAAAACACCTCAAACTGTCCAGGTCAAACTTTCTTTCCGTCTACAACAATCTGTCGTTCATCTGTGAGAAAGGCCATTTAAAAAAAACAAAAGTAGAAAAATACAGACAAGAGCGAACTAGAGTTTTGCCTCTAAACTGAGATGAACCAAAGGCCTCTGCAAAGTGCAAACGAAATAGCAACGTTCAAGTACGTCACTGTGTAATGCGTGACCACACACACAATGCATATACACAAAGTCTATGCATATATACATATGTGCACGACAGCAAACATATTCAGAATCCATATTCCAATATTTACGTACTATCAACAGTTTCATAGCATTTATGGATATGTAACCATAGCATGCGTGTATATATATATATATATATATATTCATATGTAGTTGTCTCTCTGATTGTTTCATTACTAGACAATGGAATAATACAGTCCGCCTTAATGCTTTATGACATGTGGCCACTGATGTCAGGTTCCCCAGTCTAGAAACAATTTTCGCTCATTTTAACGTGTAGTACTGCTGCAAAATGGGACCAGCCACAATCGCACTTAGCCAAACGCTACAAATATTTAAATATATATATATATATATATATATATATATTTATACATATCCATTTATGTCCAACACATCGGAGGTGCTGCTCCTTATGCTTTTTGGGTGCTGAGAAGTACCAGAAGGGGGGAGAAGTTAAGAAAATTAACAAGAAAGATAAAACAATAAAGATATATCAGGAATAACATCCCACACTACTGCATCCCATCCCTCGCCAATTTTTTCATCTTTTTTTTTTAAAAGCAAGATGCTGCTACATATTTGTAACTACAAAAAACTCCCTTTCCCCTCCGCTCCCCACCCGTCCCTGATTGCTCATTTGGACATCAGCAAAGAAAAGCATGCTCAGCTAAAGGCAAAGAGACAAATAAAAACCAACAACAACAAAAAAACACAACAGGACAGACTTGACAGGGAAATAAAATGCTAACCAGTAACACCCATCTGCTATCAAACCAAGTCCTTAGACCCAGAAGATAAAGATATAGTAAATAACATTACAAATAAATCATCACCCGTCTCGCTGGGTGAGCAACATAAAGAAAAAAAACATGTCCTCTCAGTGAAGTCTATCTCCATTCGCATAGTGGTCGCCATGACACCACAGTCACTTGTTAGCGTGGTTCGGTGAGGGGAGGGGGGGGTGAGAGTGAGGAAAGCAGACTCCAAAAATCCCGCTCTGTGAAGGAGAACACACACTCTTCAAAGTAATCACAGCACTCCAGTTGCTCCTCTGTCGCCATTTTGTCACTCTCACGATGAGTGTGTGTGTGTGTGTGTGTGTGTGTGTGTGTGTGTGTGTGTGTGTGTGTGTGTGTGTGTGTGTGTGTGTGTGTGTGTGTGTGTGTGTGTGTGTGAAAGAGGCGATGGGGTGGAGGTTCGTGGAGTTTTTCTTTTTAAGGGGGCTCGGGGGGGGGCAAGGTGGTCGTTGGTCGTCGCTCCATGCAGTTCACTAAAAAGCATTCCAAGGTCAGAGAGTGAGAAGAGGAGCATCACTCCCATCCGTTGTCTTTGATCATGTGTGCCAGCTCAATGATGAACTTTCCCTCTTTGTACTTTTGACTGCTCTCAAACGCGTGTTCCTGTCAAATAAAAACACACAGGAAAGGGACAAAGTTACAAGCAGTGGTGAGTACATACTCAAGTACTGTACAAATCTCAGGTACTTGAGTCTTCTTTTCATACCCCGTTTACTTCTGCTCCAATACATTTCCTATATATTGTTAATAGAGTACCCGTCAGTATACGTACAAGTAAAGCTGAAACATTAGTAGATTCATTCATTTGTTATTGGACAGAAAAATATGTCATACCATCTTCTAAAGTGCAAAGACTTTCTGCTTTTTAATACTTGTCCATATAAAGTTTATTATAGCCCAATATCAAAAAGGGCTTGTACATTTTGCACACTGGGAAGGTGTGACTAAGGCATTTCTCACCATTTTAAAATATTAACAAACCAACTAATCAAAAGCAGCAGAAGCATGTATAATGATAACAAAAATAAGCAATGGAAGAGAATGGTGGTAAAGTATGGCTGTGAAAACGTGCACTTGTGAAATGCTGTATTGTGAGCACATCACCTGCCAAGGTGTGTTCCCTGAGGGTGGGTGAAGGGGGATCTTGTTAAAAATAAATAAAGAAGTATGCAAGGTAATACATGGGATGACCTGTGATTACCATTCCTTATATTCCAAAACATATATTGAGAAAATAATAAATACTCATTAATCTGTAGAAAAAAACAAAAATAAATCACTCAACCTTAACAGACAGTAAATTCAAGCTTTCACATTAATGCAAAAGTACAAATTATTTAATGATAATGATTGAAAGCTCAGAGGAAAACAAATATTAGGTAAGCCTACCCACAAAGGGAATTTAAAAAACAAAAAAGGTTTTTAATTAATTGACTTTAACATAACATAAAAAAGTTTGCAGTAACTAGGCAGTACACTTAATTTGGAGTCAAACAGGCAGAAAGAAGAATATGCACCGTCATTTATCTGTCCACATTATGCATTATTGTAGATAAACAGGACACGTTTCCTAGCTACCAAACCACCTCTTTCAAATGTCCTGACTCCCTGTCTGAGAGCACATCCTGAAGTGCTGGATGAGTTCCGCTCAGCTCCAAGAGACTCCTGTCCATGTGAGTCTGTCTCCTGGATTATTTGCTCAGCCTTGTAAACCAGCTTTGCTCTGCTTTTGCTTGTGAGGCTTTCTTTAAGAGTCTAATTGTTTTTGTCACTGAAGGAGCAGCTTTAAGTGAGTCTCTGTCTTATCATTTGTTGAGTTATTTTCCTCCCTTAGTTACCGGGACGAGCCTCTTCGAAATGGCTTGGTATTTAATCACTGTAGACTCTCAGAGGTACCAGTCTGGAGCCAACCTTTAAGCACTGTAATTACCTCGACACTAGGAGACCACAGAGTGCTTAATCTCTATGCCTAAATATAACCCTGAGCAAATAAGAAAAACTGTCACCGTGGTTTTAACAAGCAATGCTTTAACGAGAGAAACCGTGTTCCTTCGACCCTTTATAGCATCATTTGTCCCCTAGCAGGCCAGGAAGCCACAGAGTTGCCCAACAACGCAGCGGCAGGCGTAAACGGTGCATCAATAAACATTTAGATGGGACAGGAAAAGAGCCGGGGTGAAAGTTGAAGGACTTACATATTTCCAGCCAAGGGTGGTTTTACAGTTTTCACAGTAGATGTCAGCCACAGCATGTAAACCTGTGAGGAGAACCCGCTCCTCAGCTGGCCCGCAGCCGACATTCACCCTGCAGGGGGGGGGAGATAGGGTCGTGGAGGTCAGGGAGAGCGGGAGAAGAGAAGCTAGAATCTTTCACTTAAAGGTGCATCCTGTCAGACAGCGTTGTTCACCCTTTTTTGAACAGCGGTACACTTTTTACATTAAAAAACAAAGCAAAACGGTGCCCCATTGTAGCCTAGCCATTCAGCATATACAATTACAGTTTAATGATGAGTCTCTCAATTTGGCCACAAGTTCTGCTACAATGGAACTAGCTTTGAGAGCTCTCTCAGACACCTTTGTGGTTGTTATCATTATAGTTACCTGTTTCTCAGATAGATAATAGTCTGTGTTCTTTTTTTGAAGTGAAGGGTGTTTTGTTTGCAGATTAGTTTATAGCTGGCTTGAGACCACAGACTGTTGGATTGCAATTGCAGAAACCGATTAAGTCAAATTGGACAATATCCCAAGGCACACCTGACGATCTCTCAGAGCACACTGATGAACTACGGCACAGTTGTTGAAAATCACTGTTGTGAGATATGGTGAGTTTGACCATATGGGGGAAATAACCTTAATATTGTAATGATATAAGGTTGACTACTGTGGCTTCAATAAGATATTTACACAATGACATTTTTGATGAATAATCGTCTGGAATGTGGAAATTGTGTGTGTGTGTGTGTGTGTGTGTGTGTGTGTGTGTGTGTGTGTGTGTGTGTGTGTGTGTGTCTCATACTTACACTGAATTAAACAGATAGGCTCTTCCTTGACTGCCTTGAAATGACTGCAATGAGAAAGAGAGAGAAACATAATATGAGCAGACGATACACGGTACAAGAATTTGAGCAACTGCCGCCCTGGGGTGCTTTTCTCCCAGTATCTGCTGTGCATACTTGTTATCCACCTTGTCACAGTCCCACACACACACATTCTGCTGGAGGTGAGGAATAAAACGAGGCATCGAAACTAGTCTATTATCTATTAACTTTAATGACGAGAGAGATGTTGTTTGTTGTTGGACTCCTTATTTTCCCTCGAGTTGTCCCTGCTGCAAACTCAGGGCGCCAGGCTTCATTGTGGGAATGCAGCGTTACAGATGTTCAGTGTATTTCCAGAGGGGAAGCTTTGACAATGAAGCGAAATGCAGTTCATAGGATATTACTGCACACACAAACAGCCCATTACGAGTCCTGATTGAATCATTTTTTAAATCCTCGTCAACCCCAAATGAGTACATGCTGAAATCTGTTTGCTTATATTTCTGAGGAATTGCATTATGTTAAAGGTCCCCTGTGGAGACTTTTCCTAAACAAACACTGTTCTGTTTGCACTCAGTTTTCTCACCAAAACTCAGTGTGCGTCTCCTTGAGGCACTACAGAGCTGTTCATGCATTTACTTTATCGTGAGGCTGGAACAAAGATCCATGTAAATGTAGGGAGGCGTGTGGTGCAGTGCATTGTGCGTTGGTGTTCGGATCAGGGGGTCACAGGTTCAAACCCCACTGCAGTCAGCATGTCGTTGTGTCCCTGGGCAAGACACTTCACCCCAAATTGCTCCTGTGGGGATTACCCACAGTAATGAGTATGTAAGTCGCTTTGGATAAAAGCAACATTCGAACCCTCCTCGCTTTTTAGTGAGGAGGGTTCGAAAAACACGTCCAAGTTCCGACAGGTAGCAAAGATAAAGCCAAACAAACGCCTTCAGACAAACTTTTCCTTTATGCTGCCAAGTACTTCAGCCTTAAAGCAGTAAAACCTTTAAAGCTCCCATGTCATGGCCATTTCTACTGATCATAATTTCATTGTTGAGGTCTACTAGAATAGATTTACATTGTTCAATTTTCCAAACTCACATTGGTTTCTCATACAGCATCTCTGTATAGTATGTGTATTCACTCTCTGTCCTAAACGGCTTGTTGGCGCTCCTGCCCCCCCCTCCCTGTGAGCCCGGTGTGCTCTGATTGGTCGGGACGCTGCGAGCTGCTGCGAGCTGCTGCGAGGAGCGGACAGGTTTCCGGGTCGGCGATACAGCGAGAAACAGCAAAACTCATCCTGAGCACACACAAACACTCACAGCCGAAGTAAAAACAGTAAGTGTGGCTTGATATTGAGTAAGAAAAAGGTTTATAACGCTGTGAGAATGGGTCTGCAGAGAGCATTTCTCCGCCATCCCAACTCGTCTATTACCAGCGTTCAGGGAGCTCTATGCAAGTCAATGGGGATTCCCTGTTAGTTAGCCAAGGGATCCTGGTGTGTGAGGTGCTCCGCGGATTGGTCCATTTGGGTATTCACACGTCACAGAACCCAGGAAGCAAACAATGGAAAATGAGAAATCTCTAACGAGGCATAGACAGGTCTTTTTTGTGTTAGAGTTTTACTCGCTGTAAAAGCACAAACAAAATTAATCTATTATTATTATTATTATTATACTTCGAGGGTTTTTGACTCTGCAGACCGTTTACATGCATAAAAACCTTCATAACACACAAGGGGACGGGTGATAACCGGAAAAGCATGACATGGGCCCTTTAAATATTATGAAACCTGCATTGTTTAAATCCATTTAGGCTTTCTTGCAGACTTCTCCTTCAGATTTTGGTTGCAGCATTGTAGGCTTCATGACAACCCTGCATTCCTCCATGTGTTGGTTGTGCCTATTCTGGGAAGTTAAAGTAAAACAAGTTTCTGCATAATGCAATACAAAGTGGAGTACATTAGCAGGTTGTGAGGAGAGGTCTGCAGAAGACTCCCAACAAAGCAGAACAATGAATAGTTGGTGAAAGACTCTACCATTCTACCTATCTTTTGAAAACCTACCACAAAATGACCAAAAGTATAAGAGGCTGGCATTTATGACAGAGCCCAGCGACACACCTAAAATCTATCCAAAAAATCTAAACTTAATTATCCGTGCATAAAAAGACGGACAGCAAGTGTCTCAGAAATACTTAATAAACAATATTATTGTCATTTTAGGACCATTTTTTGCCACTGATATGATAATAAACTAGCGTAATTCTTCAAAAACTGCCTTTCAAAGATCAAAACACTTTGATTCTTAAGCCTATGTAATCTTGGGCAAAAAAACCCGACATCCTTGGCCCGACAGACAGGCCACAATCTTCTTTCCATTGCAAATGAGTGCGGCAGATAGGTCTGTGGCTGTGGTTGAGGGCACTGAGCTAATACCTCTAATAGGAGCGTCAGCTGCCTCCTCCGACCACAGACACAACCACCACTGACGCTCAGGGGACGATTCACAGCTGCCCGAGTGTTGGATAACTTGATTTCAGATAGTTTGTCTTGGAACTGAATGATACAAATTATTTATTTGTTTTACTCTGCCCCCCGTCTTTGCTCACTGTAGGTGTTGAGCTCTTACTGTTACATCCTCCAAGTTCATTGTTCACAGTCCACAGCCACAAGACATGTGACCTTAGCTGCCAGAGGGAACTAGGTCGGCCCCTGTGGAGCCAACAACAAGTCCTCTCCGCAGTGTTTATATCCACAGAGGGGAAGGAGGGGTTACTACATGTGACAAGAGCTGTATGTCATATCTGTGTCTCACTGTGGCTCCGACATCAACTTAACCACTGGCCAAAAGGGACGGCTCCGTTTCTCGCTGCCCTTATCTGTTTCCCACAGTCTATTTTTAGTTTGCCAGTGTTTTTGTCTCTCTATCAGAGCAGCTGCAAGCTTTACTGGGCTACAAAAAAAACAGGAGGCAGGAGTATGCTTCTTACATAGCCCATTTAGAATCTAAAAAGCAAATTCTTACAAGAACACTAAAAAAAAGGAAATATTTGGATCATGTTTTTTTTAATGGAGATAGAAGCCAAACAGCTTTTGGTGCTGCACTAAGACTCCCAACAATCCTATTAGCGGGCCCAACAGGATCAGGCAAGGACTGTTTCTAAAATGTAAGAGTCTTGCTTAATAAACCATGAGCAAACAGGAGTGCAGTACAGAGCTCGTTTTCTTTAAGCTGCTTCAATTGCATTTGTTTTAAAACCGCTTGTTCCCAAGAAATGAATTCTACAAAGCAAATCTCAAAATCCCTGAATCCTCTTGAGCACGCGGGACTGAGGGAAACAATACCTCGCACAGAGAAATCCAACCCTTCAGCTCTTCAGCCCAACACACAACATACAAATCCAAGCCAGCAGAGGCTAACATGCTTCGACAGCAGTGAGTTCTCTAATAGGAACACAACATCAGATTTCACCAAAATAAAGAGAAACATTATTTTTATTACGGTCCAAGTGAAATGAAGATTAACTTAAAGCTATTAACAAGCCTGCTGAGTTGACTTGAGCCATCTGCCCCAACAGATGCCGGCTGTGCTAGGTGAGGGTTCAGCCTAAACTTAAATGCATCCTGTTAAACCCCAAAGCTCTATTTGAGATTCAATTTAAGTTTTGTTTTTTTAAGGATTAAACAATCTTAAACTTTGTTATGCAATGCTTTTATTTATTTTGTTATATTTGAGCTTTTTGAATGGCTCCTTGGCCATAACTAATTAACAGACGTACTGAGCAAGAGTATATAGATATTATTTAGTGGCTTCATGCTAACATTTTCATTGATTATCAGTTATTAGAATTGAAATGAATAACTGCCGGCTTGCTCACAAGTCATACATTACCCCAACATTTTAATTATACCACTAAAAAATATTCTATTTATATTTGAATGGTCAATAATTGTTTGTTGTTAGCTACACAGCAACGTTTATGGTTGGTAGGCACTGTAGATACTAAATTGCACAAGTATTTAAAAAAGAAAAATATATATGTCCCATTTGACATGAGCTTAATGCAGGGTTCATACACTTTTTCACCAATGATTTTCAATGACTTTTCCATAACCTTTACCTAATTTTCCATGACCAAAAACATTACTCTGTCTCAGCGGTACCACTGAAAATGGTTTATTTGAACATGGAACAGGAAAATAAGGTCTGCATATGAAACATGTTGTGCCTATCTAAAACAAATCAAATGGTAGGCTTACTAGCTTCTACACGCGGCTAAAGCAACTAAAATCTGACCAGCAAAATACCCCGTCAGTTAAATGCCATTTTACGTTTCATTACTACACGATACAGTACTTATTATTATTATAGTATTACTATTTCGGCGATTAGATAAGATTTAAATTATATTTGATGCAACTTTAGTTACATTTCCATGAGTTTTCCAAAACTTTGGGAAAAATATTGTTTTCCATAACTTTTCCAGGGCCTAGAATTAGCATGTCCATGATTTTTCAGGTTTTTAATGACCGTAAGAACCCTGATAATGGCACTAAACACAAAGTGAAGCCTAATCTGTTTGTGCATTTACCAAAAACATTGGACAAAGTGCCAAATGTTATTTTCTACTACCCAATACTTTCACTCTGAACTTGAGTGGTGACGACTGACAGTTATCCCTGGACACCTACTACTAGTGCAGCTTCTATGTTTGATAAAACCTTGCTAGCCTTGAACATGAAAACAAGAGAAGGGGAATAGTAACAATTGGACTGTTCTGTGACAGCACATAAAAGCATCAGATATTTGGCAGCTGGAAAATGTGAAAATTAATTAATTAATTAAATGAATGGTGTCTGTTAATGTCAAGAAACGAAAAGTGTGATCAATCCATTAGAGGGGCTTCAATCATCCTGATGGGGGGGGACGAAGCCATGGTGCTGAATAAAACTCTGAGCCTCCTCTTCAGTATTCAGGCTGCGCCGTCACTCTCCAGGGCCACGCTCACACCGCAGGCCTCGGCTCTCCAACTGTCGCTCACACTGCGATCTGATTTCAGGATAGTGCTCCTATCTGCTGTTGGATGTAACCAACATCTGATAAAAAACCAAGCCAAGACTGATTTCGAAAAGGTTTCTGAGGTTGACAACGTCAGGCATCAACAAATAAAATAAAGCCAAGAGTGTGATTATGTCGAATATGTTGGTCTTTGTGCCAAAACAAGCTTC